GGGACCGAGCCAGCGCGCAAGGAGATGAGGAGGGGGGCCCGCTAGTACCAGTGGCAGGACAGGGGAACGAATGTTGGGGGGGCCACCCGCTTGGCCGCCCTGCAAGTGAGGCAGAGAGCCACACACTGGGTCCAATTGTTCCACAGGCAGCGCTGGGGCCTCGGCCGGGAGCTTCCTGAATACACACCCCTGCTGCATGGTGTTCCAGCCTGGAGGACAGTTAGATAAGGTAAGTGATTTCATCTCTGTGCCTCTATGTTCTGTGAGTTTGTATAGCTGATGGAACTAATCTGCATTTCTGTATAAATTATTACTGGGAGTTGTAGTCCTCTATAGCTGGTGCCATTCTGCATTGCAGCAGTGCAGAATGGCATCAGCTATAGAGGACTACAAGTCCCAGCAATGCATTATAGTGGGGGGGAGTGTTGGGGGTATTCTGCATAGCCGACTTTTACTATAATGCATTGCTGGGACTTGTAGTCCTGCATAGCTGGTGATATTCTGCATTGCTATATGATGATTATACAGCAATGCAGAATAGCTACAACTGTGCAGGACTACAAGTCCCAGCAATGCATTATATTTTTAAGTAGGGATACACCACTGCCAATACTGGGCATTTTCACGAGTACTCATACTTGTGAAAATGCCCCGATACTAAACGCAGATACCGGTGTTCTGTCGAGAACGCCGACGTAGTCTAATTTGCCGACCTCAGCATCTGCGCTTGCGCATAGACCAGTATTATCGAGGAAACCGGCATTTATTCACAAAGTATTTCAGTAAAATCGTTAATTGTGACCGTTAATAATATTCCAGCCTTCATTTACTGCCATAGACGGTATATTATTAATGGTCACAATTAACCATTATAAACGAATACTTTGTAAATAAATGCCGGTTTCCTCGTTAATCCCGTCTGTGTCGTAAGCGCAGATACTGGGTCGGCGTTCTCGACAGAACACCGGCACTAACATTTTAAACAAGCGGCTGCCTGAGGTCCCGCGCTTGCTGGGGACCTCGGCAGCCTTCCTGTTAACCATGTGGTGCCATTGCGGTTGGGGGGGCCCTTCATGGTTTCTTGCACCGGGGCCCTGAAGGTTCTAGTTACGCCACTGCCCTTTCATCATGCACTCCTGGAGATCTTGTCTCACATAAGAAGGCAGCTGTGAACTCACCTGGGCTATGACCACTTGTGTCTGCTGCTGCTGTTGGAGGAGCTGGTGCTGTAGGAGCTGTAAGCGGTGCTGTGAGGCTAGAGGAGTGAGGACAGAGACAGAAGAGGCACAGCTTGGGGTGTGAACTTTCTGGGACAGCAACGAGTAGGTTGAACAATTTTCAATATCCTGTAAATAAAGTACAGGGTTGGGTAAATGCTCTGGAATCAAGAAATAAAAACGAATCCTTAAATAAAGCCAGAAACTGTGGACTTCATGTCTAATACAGTGAACAGCAGATAAGAAAGTTGCAGAAATGTCAGACAGCAACGTGTCTATACCTGGGCGGTTGGCTTTACTTACTAAATGGAAAAGTGGGGGTAGGTGTGACAATCAATTTAAAAACACAAAAGAAAATGTACAACCTTTTTTTGTAAATCAAACTAGAAAGGGACATACTGACAGCTGATGGTCTTAATACAGTGAGTTACTGCATTCACATTCCATCGGTGGTATCTCCAGGGTGATGGAGACCAATATGAGGGGAAAATGCAGGCAGGTATACCTGCAGGATGAGGTGTGGTCAGTTACATACGACTGCACACAGCAGTCATCTCCTGGTCACATCTATTTAGGGAAATTATGTGAAGTGAACATTGAGACTTTGATCCTCAGCAAGCACTCAAGCTGCAATGAATCTGACTGGCAGCTGGATCTTTCCTCCAGTTTTAATTCATCGGTCCTACGTTGTCTTTGCTGTCATGGCAGACAATCCTCCACTAGGGGGCTGCATAAATCAACGAATGAAATTCTAAAGGCCAGCAAGGACAATTGTAACAGGACAATATCAGACTGTTAGTTAGTGCAGGCCAGCCGCCTACCAATTTACATGACATTCACACTAAAACCAGCGGCTGTTCACTCCTGAGTGAGTTGGAAACTAAATCGGAAATGAAATAGCTTCTCACTTTCATAACAATGTGAATCACTGCTATAGAACTGATAAAACAAACCAACTTTGGAGCGGCACATCATCGAACGCCTGTATGTTCCTTTCCATGTACTATTTGCCAATATTGAGCAATTATCTTTTCAATTTGCTAAATGTTTTGTGGCACAAAGCTGCTGAAATTACTGACTACATGTATATTATTAAATGTTCTGCATAACTAGGCAGTTCATAAATATTATGTCCCAGGTTTTGCTACATCTGGGAAGGTGATAACAGTGACTTCTATCAGACCCCATTCACACTGAGCGTTTTGTAGCGTGATTTCTGCTCAAAAATCACTCAAACATGAAGCTCAATGTGGCTCTCCCAATGCATTTCAGTGGAGCTGTTCACATCTCACAGCTCAATGTCTCCTGTAGCTTGTAGCTCAAGCTTGTCGCTTGAACATGACCTATTTTTCGGCGGATTTCATGCAATTTGGCCCAATAGACTTCAATGGTGTAGCTCAATGTCCCACATTACCAGCGATTTTGCGCGACATTGTCGCACTACAGAAGTGTCACTTTTGCACAGAAATTATTAGCAGGAACATAAGCAGGAAACAGGAAGAGGAACTATGTCACATCAAGACCGCTTTTGATTGGATACAGCCCAATGTAGCAGCTACGAAGGCCATGCCAAAAGTAGCGCTACGTAGTGCTACAATATGTGCACTGTAGCTCAATGTCTCTCAAAATCGCTCAGCTCAAATCAGGGCTGTGTGAATGGGGTCTGAGGTGTCTATTGTGGAGCACAGGAAAAGGAGCCATTCCAGAGGACATAAATAGAGATTCAAGAGAAATGGAGTATTTCGTTGACTAAATGTGCAGTTCATGGGGATAAATACTAATTTTTACAGGAGTGCAATTTTTTTGTGAACTAAACATTTTAATGTGAACATTATTAAATATACTAACATGTAGAGCTGCAGCTAACGATTATTTTCAAAATCGATCAGTTAGCCGATTATTGAGTTTGATTAATCGGTTAATCGGATACAAAATAAAATACATTTTTAAAAATGGCTCCAGTGATGGGACTACTAGTTTGTATTGAGATTGTAGTCCATCAGAAGAGCAAGCTTGGAGCGGTGGAAGTAAATAAGAAAAAAAAAAGTATGGTGTGCAATATAGTGAAATGAAAAGTGTAAAATTATATAGCAATGAATGCAGAATGGCACCGGCTATAGAGGACTACAAATCCCAGCAATAGTACATTATACAGCACAATACAGAATGCCACTAGCTACAGAGGAGTACAACAAATCCCTGCAATAATATATTATGCAGCAAAATACCACCAGCTATATAGGAATACAACAAATGCCAGCAATACATTATAGCTGGCGGTATTCTGCATTGCGCTGTATAATGTATTATTGCTGGGTTTTGTAGTCCTTTATAGCTAGTGGTATTCGGCATTGCACCACTGTATAATGTACTATTGCTGGGATTTGTTGTACTCCTCTGTAGCTGGTGGTATTCCGCATTGCGCTGTATAATGTATTATTGCTGGGATTTGTAGTCCTCTATACAGTGCAATGCCCAATACCACCAGCTATAGAGGAATACAACAAATCTCAGCAATAGTACATTATACATTGTGTAATGTACTATTGCTGGGATTTGTAGTATCTCGTATAATATACAGCACAATGTACCATCAGCTATAGAGGAATACAAATCCTAGCAATAAATTATAGAGCACCAAGTGGGGGGGAGTGCAGGCTTACCTGAGCAGTTTTCCAGCAACTTGTTTCTGAGATCGGGCCTGTCTATTGGCAGCTGTCATCCGCCCACCCCTGCTCCTCCTTACTTCTTCTCCCCCGTGTTCCTGTGCCGATCGTGGAAGTGGGAGGGTGGTGAGCGTGAGGCGGGGAGGAGGTGCAGCGTGTGGATGCGGTTAGCAGCGGCAAGCGTGAGGTGGGGAGGAGGTGCGGCAGCGCGGGGGGGGAGCCGTGAACAGGGCCAACTAACCAGAAGCCGATTAATCGATGATTGAAAAAGTTGACAACTTTTTCAATCATCGATTATAATCGATTATGTCGATTAGTTGTTGCAGCCCTACTAACATGGGCATATGAAATAACTCAGACTGAAATGACCCCAGTCTGTCAAAATTCAGTACAAAATGTAGGCGAGAAGGAATTGCTGCTTTCTTACAATCAAGCCTAGCCAGTCAGTATCTAGTGAAACACTAAAGATGTTGGTGGCATTCTGTGAACAGTGTAAGATTGTTTTATAGGTCTGCCTGCATCTGACTCCTGTCACACGCTCAAACAGTTCTCTATCAAATATAAGTTCTGAAATGTTACTAATACTTGTTAAATATGGTCAGATTAATGCTGCTGCACACTGGAGCTGCTGTCTAAGAAGTTTGCTTTGGGTGGCCATTGTCTGCTGCGAGTACCAAGAATCCTCTTGTTTGGGTCTTACCCAGCCATTTTTTTCTTTTAGCACTGGAAGACATTTGGCAATGCCTAGGTCTGGTGCAGATACAGCACGTTCACAGGTTATCTTCTCTGCAGTAGCTCTTATCAGATTTCCATCAGCTTCTGTATCTTTATTTTCTGCTCCTGTCAGCTGTCGCCCTATTATAGGGAGAAGGGATTATTTAAAAAAAGAAAAAGAAGACTTTAATAAATTGTCATCATATCAGGTGACAAAATATTTCTCACTATATCAGGTGACAAAATATCTGCTGCTTCAGCAAGATCCTCCCAACCAGCCATTAACTCTCCCCTTTCCAGCCACGATTAGCACGCTGAACACTGAATGAGTAATCACACCAGGACAAAGCGCACGCTGCTCATTTACATATAAATTTATGGATTACATGCATGGCTGAGGAATATTAAGAGGACTAAAATAAACCCATATATTGCCATTCGTCATTCTGTTTGGCTGTAGCCACTGTGGATGGGATTGTCATTTAGATTGTTAAGCAAGGCGCACAATACAATTGGCAGCTGTTCCGCCAGCTGAGCGCAATGCATTAATGCACTTTTGTCTCCAGCTACCTTCTAGTTTGGCCTCTTCCAGAGATTTGTCACTGGCTCCGTCCGCATTCTGTTGCGCATGTTGAAGGCTCATTTTGTGGCACACTTCAAAGGCCTGTCCAACTGTCCGCACAATCTGCATGGCCTGACTCTGCCGAGAGAGAGAGAAAGGGAGAGAGATGCCATTTGTAGAGAATATGATCTCATGGCCACCACTGTACATGTCCCTGAAACCCAAATAAGAGGATATCATAAAGAGCAAATTAATATATCTCATAACAATGAATGGCCTTTTGAAAAAAAACTATACCTAAAGTTTACAGCCATTTACTGGTAACAAATGCATGCTGTCAAGGCATGTCTCTTCACAGTACCAACTGACACAACACTGACAGCAACTTTACTACAAGCATTTCCTGACATTAACTCTGATTGATCACCAGAGGCGGAACTACCGGAGGTGCAGAGGAGAAGGTTGAGGCGGCCCCAAGCAACGACGGTCCGGCGGTGGAAGAGGCCCACTGCGGCAGCTAAGGAGCTGCATGTGCAGGGAAGGGGACCCCGACCAACCCACCTGAGACCCCGCAGAGCCCATCATAGATCCTGCACAGCCCACAGAGACTCGCTATGGGGGGTATCAGGTGCGGCTGGTCGGGGTCTCAGGTGAGCTCTGCAGGATCTCTGGTGGCTCCAGAGTCCAGTTATGTCCAAAGTCCAGTGCGTTGCTAAGTCCAGAGTGCTGCTGAGTCCAGTGCGTTGCTATGTTCAAAGTCCAGTGCGTTTGCTATGTCCAGAGACCAATTCATATACTGTTCTGCATTGCTGTATAATGTATTGCTGGGATTTGTATTCCCCCTACAGCCGGTGCCATTATGCATTAGAGTGTAAGCTCCTTTGTATCGAAACTAATGTGACTGGCTCAGTGTTCTCTGTACAGCACTGTGGTATATGTTAGAGCTATATAAATGTATAATAATAGTGTGAGACTGTGGGGGGATATTAGAGTGTAAGCGCCTCTGGTGCAGAGACCGCCGGGGGGGTTGGGGGGCCAGTGAGATCCGCTCCAGGCCCCGCTTTGGGAGGGGTGCCCAAGATAAAATCTTTCACCAGGGCCTTTTATTCCATAGGTCCGCCACGGCTGATCACATGACATTCTTGAAGAATCTTCACAGCAGCATCTTATTATCATCAATGTCTGAAGAAAGAACAATCTGCTTTGTCTCATAGCAACTAGAGAGTGAATACTGCACTGGAAAAAAAGGATCTGATTGGTTGCTCCGTCTGCACATTAGGATAAATCTGGGGTCCACCTTGGAAAAAAAGGATCTGATTGGTTGCTCCGCCTGCACATTAGGATAAATCTGGGGTCCACGTTGGCAGCACTCACTTTCTTCTTGGATTTGAAGACGTTGCATTTGAACGTGTTGCTGGTACCGTCCCGGGCAATATAGCTGAATATCTTTAGATCTTGCGAGTCGTGTGATACATAGAATATCCTAGAAGAAAGAAAAAAATAAAATAAAATAAAAACTTTTCAGCCTGTCTGTTATCCTGTAAATGGTGTTTCCGTCATGAATATTCAACGCAGCCTGGAAGGACGAGGAGATTAAACATTCAGCAGAGATCTGGGCCAGGCTGGAAATAGAATATGATCATATTCTGGAATTGGGTGAAATTATGCTGGCACTCAGCAATTGCCACACTGCCAACCAGCCGCTCAACAGAATGCAACTTAAATCCAAATTACCCCTCCATGTACAAATCTTGCAGCAAGCTGCGAATACCTCCCAAAATCTCTTTTTTGAAATATATGACTCCTAGCAAGAGCGTCAATTTAAAGATATATCGTGCTGCAGGGTTACAACAGGAGCTGATAGAAATAATAATGACTGAGAGCACACGCTTGAGGGAAAGTATTCTTCTGCACACAGCTGACTTTCTGTGTCACACTTCTGTGAGCCTCTGCCAGCCTACATTTGTGAATAGCATAGAAGAAACCACTTCAGCTCACAGAAAATAATACATTTTGTACACATTAGTGGACCAATCAGTAACTTTTAGAAGTTTGCATGAATTTATTCATGACATGTCACAATACAAGTATATTGTTTCAGAAAAACTTTTATCATGTAAGAACAGAGACAAGTACTGCACCCGGAATTTACATAGCTTTGGCATCTCTGAGCCAGCATCTGAGTCCAGGAAGATGATCCTGGATGATGCCTGAACAAAGATGATGCTGCTCGTCTGAAGAGAAATGCAGATTATGGCATTATCTGGGGAAGTACTGTGACCTCTGTGAGAGGTAATAGGTTACATAAAGCAATACTCACAAATACTGCTAGGACCTAGTAAACAGCTGCCTTACAATTTATATTGTTATTCAACATTCCAGGTTTACTGACTCGGACGTACACTGAACTCTTTCCATGTGACGACGACAGAATAACACAGTTTGTATGCATGAGGCTGGCATTGCACAGAATGTGTGAACACCGCAACATGAAAAGAAATAATAAAGTCACATCCATCAACAATATGTTGTACGGCAATATTATATACAAAAAAGGCTTAATGAAGGTCTACTTTAAAGAGGTACTAGAGTGTATATTCAGGAAATTGTGTGTTGGTTGTCATATTTGGAAGTGTCAATACTGCCCCTTTATGTAATGTCATTTTATGGAGGCCATACACGTAATGATTTGGTCAAACGATTCTTTACAGAATTGGACGATATGATGGAATCTGTTAATGATCAAAAATACATATACCATGTGTCCATGTGCCATGGATTGATTTAGATCAAACCTAATCAGTTCCAGTGAAATGATTATGATCAGTATAGGCAGAAAATCTGATCGTATGAAAGTAGGCAAAACTATATGATCGTTAACAGTATGGCACTCAAACTATATTTTTATGCAATTCTGTTTATTTAAAGAATTGTTCATTTATTTCATTTGGGGGAGTGTGATTTTTTTTTTTTATTCAAGACAAATATGAAAGCAATGTTTAGTAAACACAAAACAAAAGGAAGAATTAATGTAATTACAACACATAGCATTGGAACGGTTACTATTTATTCAGGGGCAAAATCTACACATTTTCTGGTTCAAGCTGGATAATGTGAACACTGCATCGGGTTCCTATTAGTGTATCGTGGTAATGATATTGCATTGAAACTGAAATAAGCAGCGGGTGTGGCCATATGTTTGTTTGGGGGGTTTCTTACCTGTATACGGGATCGTGCATCAGCAACATCTTACTCTCATCCCATGTCCATTCTTTTCTCTGAGACACAAAACACATCGTTAGAAACATCATGCAAGACAGCCGACTCCTCTACATATTTCATATCCCGCATTGCTCTTGGACTGTTTAGTGTTAGAATCTGTGACATCACTGAGAGCAGCGAGACAGACAGCGTCTAAATTGTTCTGCATTGATCTGCCTCATTTCCAGAGAGCCCCCAGTGGCTACCCATAGGGGCAGATGCTGATGGTGAAGCACCTGTGTGGATGAAAAGACACCCGCGGTTCTCCATGATAACATAAATCCTTTACATGTTTCTCACCTCTACTACCCTTCAGTAATCTTTCATCTCCCAATGTAAGAGTGGCACTTTATTTTTTTTCTACCCCGTCCTTAATCACTATCCCCTGTTCTTAGTGGAGCTGTATGCCAGGGTGTGAAAAGGCTGAGTGTGGCCAACAAATGTCGCAATCTAAATCAGCCCAGCACAAAAACCAACTGGACAGTCATTATTGGCACCGCCCCATCTAATAATTGTCAGCCCAGTTGTCCTCACATTGTTGGGGAGTGGCAGATGGCAGATGACTGCATGGAACTGCCCTTTATGGACTCCAGATCCAATAATATTACAGTCATATGGGGCCACACGGCAGAGAACCTGGTAAAAAGGTCGGTCATACTGCAATGCTCGTTAAAATCTAAAACATCTAATATAAATGAGCGTGCGGCCCACACACAGGAGCCATTAAATGAGATTTCTTCGCTTTCATCTTCTATTTTATAAAGATAAACGCGTCGTACAAGATTCCCCTTCACACCTTCAAAGCTCTGAAATCAATTACCCATTGCAGCTACCTCCATGACGCCAGCTTTGATCAGGGGCCGCAAACTGACACATACTGGAGGGAACTGATCCTCTGTAGGGAAGTTTCCTGCTGGCACATACCCAGGGATACAATAAACATCCAAAATTAGCTTGGTAAAACTGACTATTTAATAGCCCACTCCTCTCAAACCTGATATATTAGTTATGAGTGGATGTAGCAGGATGACTCATTCAGCTTCTAATATTTCTCAGGGGCTCCAGCATTAAATTTTCAGCCCAAACCCACCTGCTGCACGTGATGGAGTCTCATTTTGGGTTCAAACTTTACATTCAGAATGCAACAAGGGGGGCTTTGGAGGGGCGCCCATCAACTGGAGAACTAAATATGTATCAGAACCACAATTTATAATAGAGATGCTGCTTCTAATTTAATGCCTGCTAAAAAGACGCTACCCAAATGCTTCTGCTATATGCAAATTTGTACTGACTAATGGATGCTGTAAATTAGTGCCCTCCAGGCTGTTATATTCTGGATATGAAGACTTGTTTATCCAACTCTAAGTGTCCAAACAAACAGATTCAGGCTGAATGAAGTACTTCAGGGAGGTCACACCTAGCATACCCCAATCCAATTCTACAGAATTGAGGATAAGAAGCCTTTAGGAAGTTGTGCAGCAGAGTGTAAAGGGACTAAAGAGTGAAGACAGGAGATATACGACTCCTCTCTGAAGTCCCAGACCTTGCTATAAACACGTTCATCATCTTTTCTTATTACAGCCATATTTGAAGCTGCGCTCACAGTATTCCCATCATGTAATCTCTTATCGGATACAATGCTCAGCGGCCTCATAAGATGCACTCTTCCATTATACATCATGGCCAGAAATTAGATTTTCACCCATTTATCTGGAGAGTTCTGTGAGCTCTGCCACTTTACATTACAGAATAAAGCTGAACATTAGTTCAGATAAGATGGTAATCAAGCATGGTGCTTTTCCCACAATGCTGTGCTGCTGGGAGGATGGTCCAGTATATACAGATCAGTATACATATGATCGAAAGTATAATCTCACCTTCTGTTTCTTCCTCATCGCCACTTTGACTCCATCCAGGGACACTGAGATGCTGACTTTCTTCTTCTTGATGTTTTTGGCTTTGAACTCATACTGGCGGGAAAAAAATGGAGAAAGCAACATTACCATCTGCCCAGTGCTATGCACTATATATTGAGGATGCACCGATACCAAGTACCGTACTCGGTACAAGTACAAGTACAGATACTTTTGGAGCTCCAAGACTAGACTAGAGAAAAATTCAAAAGTAAGGAGGCAGCTGTCATTTGTAAGGAGCTCCAGGGATTTGTACATCTCTATATTGATAAAAACAAAATCATACATTAAAACAAATAAAGGGATGCACCAATACCATTTTTGCAAGTACAGGTACTGATACTTGCCCAAGTACTTACAGATACAACAACTGATACATTTTTGTTTGTTGTCATGTGACAGTTTTTCTAAAACAATATCGACGAATGATTTCAGGACAGTGGTGGAGCACCAGGGCCAGGTCCCAGCTGCAACCACTGCAACCCTGGTAGTTCTCATGAAAATGCCAAGTATCGGCACTGGTATCTGTGCATCCCTACTACCGGTATATATATGACTCTCGTCTATCTTCACATGCTGAGCTCAGCTGACCAGACTATGGCACAAAGCTAACACTCTACTGCAAACTAAATCATATCCAAATCCAACAACTGCCTACAGGACTGCGACTGTACACACTCAATACATACTGTGCAAGAACAGATACTGAGAATTACAAATAGAATGGAGGATAAGAAAGCTGATACTGTGCAGCATACATATATACGGAATTATATCAGATACTGAGAAATACACCTAATATACAGGAATAGAAAAGCTGTACACTGTCCATACATAGAGAATGAGATCAGATACTGGAAATTACATTTGAGCACACAGAACAAGAGAAGAGCTACTGTGCAGGGTCCATAAAAACACAATAAGAACAGATACTGGGAATGACATCCAGCACACTGGACAAGTGGAGTGATACTGAGCAGCATTCATGTATACATTATACGATACTGACAATTACACCTACTTGAATTGAATAAGACAGGTGATAATGTGAAGCATCCATATATAGTATAAGATCAAATACTGAGAAATTGAATGGTCCTGACTTCCTGTTTTAGTGACTCCTTTCTCAAGCAGAGTGCTATGCAGTCACCCTTGGGTGTGTCCCCACAAAGACACAGCAAATCAGGCTACTTCCCTTTCCCATGGCCCCGTTTCCCCCTCCAAGCTAGTAGATGTACAGTTGCTGTAGTCTGCTCTGTCCTTTGTGATCTTGTACTGGCCAGGAAGTTCAAGGAAGCTGAGCTCAGAGACTTGGAAGCAGCTGTTCAGAAACATGATGATTCTGAGTGTTTGGGCAAAAATGTAAAGCAATGCTTTGCTGGGCAATGAATATTTGATTGATATGGATTTCTTATTAATCAAGTTTGCTGTCTGCAGAATCTTGCCACCGGCAACTGTCATTCCTTGGCTGAAGTCATTCAAGCGCCATGTGCTTACAATACAATTTTAATAATATATATATATTAAAAAGGTGGGGAAAAGTCATTTTCGGCCTGACAAATTCTGCTGTGGGAGGTGCATTGCAGTGCCATTCATTTCAATGGCACCCCAAACGTGCCTCCCACCCACAGTGTGATCGCCCGCACGGTACCTCAACGCTTTATGTTTGTAACACTCCATTTATGTATTTTATTTTAAATTAAACTGACATTAAAAGGATACATTTTTTTCCACTCCCCCCCCCCCATGTTAATGTCAGCACTTACCTTAAATGATGTCTCTTAATCCGATCTTACTCTTCTTTCCCCATGTTATCATCTGTCCCTCCAGCGGTGCGGCGGCTCTCCGATCCAGCATTGACTCCTCTCTGCTTACAGGCACTTCCGATCCAGCGGTGTCTGCATGCGGGTGCACGCGTCCATAGGCTTACCTTGCGTCTCTGCTCGTCTCACGGCCCAAAATCTGAACTGCGCATGCACCCGCCCCAAGATCCTTTGCGGCCGCACGAACAGTTCCGGACTCTTGTCGCAGGAGCGCACAGCGATAATAATGTCAGTCTAAAGCGCTGTTTAAGCGTTTGTTTTAAAAAAAAACGTTTTGCCTATATCTACTGCTTATTAGCAGTAGATATAGGCAAAAAAACGGGAGGCTTTAGAACCCCTTTAAGGATGGTATTTAACCAGTTGACATCCGCGGTGTTAAACCCCCTTCCCATCCAGGCCATTTTTCAGTATTCAGCGCTGCGGTACTTTGACTGACATTTATTCCGTTATGCAGCGCTGTACTGAAATGAATTTTATACCCTTTTTTGGGGACAGATAGAGCTTTCTTTTGGTGGTATTTATTCACCACTGGGGGTTTTATTTTTTTACTATATTAAGGAAAAATTACCGAAATTTAAAAAAAAAAAAAGTTTCCCCTATATTAAATGATAAAACATTTATTATTACCCAATTTTTTGGTAAAATATAAAAGATGGGGTCACGTCGGGTAAAAAGACACTAAACATGTCAAGCCTTAAAATTGCGTGCGCGCGCGAAACCTCAAAAAACGATAATACCCAAAATTGGCCATAGGCGACGCTTTAAAAGCTGTTACCGCTCATCAGTTTAGTGTTATCAGTGATTGATGGCCCTAAAATGATTGCTCTCACTGCGACGTTCGCGGCGATATGTAACATGTGTAGCGCAATTGTAATTTTTGCGCGCTGGGGCACCGGACGCGTATTTACGTTTATAGGCGCGTAAACGTGGGGGTGGGGGAGTTAAACATTTTGGGGGGGTTTTTCCCCTTTTTTTATATGTGACTTTTATTTTATTTTTTATGTGTTACTTTTATTTTTTTTAATTTAGATTTCTTTTTTTGCACTTATTGTTATTGCTATTATATAGGGGGATAACAACCCCCTATATAATAGCAAAGGCACACTGACAGGTCCTCTTTATGGAGACATTAGGGGTCTCTAGGACCCCTAATATCACCTGTGGACCCCAAAAGAAGCTGATGAAGCAGAGATCTGCTTCATCAGCCGCGAACGAGCACATATAGGCGATCGGCGGGCTATGGACCCGCTGATCGCCTATATGTGAAACACCCGGTAACGGGTGTGTGCAACGGTCGGGTCTTTTCTGCCCGTGCGTGCCCGCTAGGGGGCGCGCGCGAGCAGAAATCCGCCAATGCTGCAGTGCCGCCCGTCCGTTTTTTTACTACGGGCGGACGGCAAGAGGTTAATCATTTTTATCCGATCAATCGAAAAAATTAAAACGGTCAACTAATCGATTATGAATATAATCATTAGTTGCAGCCCACAAATAAGACAACATTGAGAACTATATTTAAAGGTAAACAAATGTGTTTACTCTTGGATTGTTTGCTTTCTTTAAAACGGCCATTGTTATTTGTCTTTTTATGGCTTTGCTTGGTAATAATCCTCTTCCCAGTGCAGTAAAAAAGTTCTCTTTTGAGTCTTTGGATTAAATGTAATAAATGATTCAGTTTATTTGTTCTAATTTAACAGACAGTAAAAAATGTTTATTTACATATCTCAGGGTAAACTGGGATCCATTAATTGGGGGCTGTCCATCATGGAGTCACTGGCCCAGTACAAGCATGCAGACAGGAAAGAATCAGGACACCTAACCTGCATATTAACAATGGACCTTGGTTCTTGGGCTCCTGAAGGTCAGAGGGCCACGCAGTGCTGCCTCGGCCCCTAAAGAATTTCTCTCTTTTGCTTCTCTGTTTATATCTAGGTGTTGCATCACTCGAAAGCATTCCTGTGAGGATAATTCATGTTTACATGGATATGAAGATTGTATCACAAAGGACTTTCTTTGGGGCACATACTGAATTATCTTCAAGAAGAAGCTGATATCTTAATCATAAATTATTCATGTGATCATTTGAAGATAGCAGTGCAGACAGAGAGTGTCTGAGGAGATTTGTGCAGGGACACGTGCAAACATGGGCTGGAACAGAGAGGATTCAGGAATGTATCATCTATATTTACAGTGTGGGGATCTGGGGGAGAAGTCTCACAGAATGCCTCATTTCTTGTATTAATCCACATAAACAGAAGTAAAGCCACATCTCAGAGATTGCCGTATTATGTGTCCACCAGAGGGCAGACTTTTCAGACACATTCCAGAGGACTCATACTGCCCAACACTAGGGAGGAATAACTGCGATGCAGAGTTCACCATGAACTTTGGTTGTTTACAGTTTGCTGAACGCCCAAAATGGCCTGCTTGCCTACCCGCCAAACCTCTGGCTGCAGCAGAAGTAATTTATTTAGTGGAAGTATTACTGCTACCACTAAATGTGACCGCTTCCCCTTTAGCTCAGGACCATGCATCCATCCCCTCTTGTTGGTTGCTAGAATACTGGCAGCTGCTAGCAAGCAGTAGATATATGCAAAAAGTGTAAAAAAAAAACAAAAAACCCCCGCTTTAAAAGCGGTTTAAACTTACCTGTGTCTTCCCCGCGCGCTCCTGTCTGAAAATCTGAACATTCTCAGGCGGCCGCAATGCATCTTGGGGCGGGCGCATGCGCAGTTCACATTTTCGGCCGGGAGAGGAGGAGAGATACAATCTAACTATATGGACGGTGTGCACCCACATGCAGACACCGTGGGACAGGAAATGCCAGCAAGGACAGAGGAGTCAGCGCTGGTTTGGAGACCCGCAGCAGCGCTGGAGGGACAGATGAAAACAACAGGAAAGAAAAAGAAGATCGGATTAAGAAATGTCATTTAAGGTAAGTACGTTAATTGACGTAGGGAGGGAAAAATATTTTTGACTTTGTCACTTTATTAACACTTCAAACCTAGGTATTCTACCATAAGACAACAGAGTAAAATATTATATATGAAGTGCTATGCATTAAAAAAAAAGGTAAAAAAATCTTCTCCAAGAAGTCATGAGTTAACACCCAGATGAAATATTTGACTTTCACGCTTCTCAGAGCAACAAAAGAATGTGAAGTGCTGAAGGCGGAGCTGCCAGTGTGCAGGTAGATCACCACCTAGCCAATTGAGATCCAGACCTCCCGGCACTTCT